GGAATTTTTTTGTTTGTTTCTAGAGGAGAACACAGTGAAAAAAGGAGTTACTTGCTGGTATTAAAAAAAAAAAAAGTTTCATCTTTTACCTCTCTCACTGCACTGATAGGCAGGGCTCTTATCTCACAACTGCTTCTAAAAATTTTTATCCATACTATATAGAATTTGAAATACCTTTTAATATATAATGCTATAAATAAAATCTATCAATAATATTTTAATTATTAGAGAAACAGTGAGTGAAGTATGCAGGACTGTGTACGTTGAATGATGCTCTTGGTTGGTTATGACCTATTAGTTTATCTTTTGAACATACTGGCATCACTTTATACTGCTCTGGAAGTTATTCAATGTTTTTAAGCACATAAGACCGAAGAACATATACATTTTGAACAAAACAAAATGAACAACAGTGAGGTTTACACACACGCAGTTCTACACAGTTCACTTGTGCCTTGGAGGGATAGTATTATCATAATTATTAACAATACAAAACAATTTTGTCCCAGTAGTACTGGCCACCCTGTTTTAAGAGTTTTAGAAGATCCCTGAGCACATTGTTTGTTTCTTATAACCCGAACTCCAAAATGATAGGGCTTCTATTATTGATATCAAGATGGATTGTCATTCACAGTAAGTCAATCGTAAGGTGCTTATTTACCCATTTTTTTTCCCACCAATCAGCACAAAGAACTGTCAGAAAATAATTTTTTATTATCTTCAAATAATAGCATTGGAAGGACACATGATTTAAACAATCAATGTTTGAAACAGTGGCTTTAGGATTATTATCTGGCTGCCCCTCAACAATAACAAGTGATTCAATCGACATTCCTTAGCCAAAAACAAAAGGCAAAAAAAAAAAAAACCAAAAACAAAACAAGAAACAAAAACCAAAAAAACTGTACAAATATGTAATTTTCCCTGAGGGATCAAAGTACACCTGGAAGTGCTCTATGTACATATTGCACTAGAGAGGAATGAAGAACATGTGCAAAAAAGCAACAACGAGAGAAGCTTACATCCTACTTAAACCTTTTCATTAAAGATTCTACTAGGTTGTTTTGCATTTTGGAATGTCGGAACACAAACAGCTATTCCTTAAGTCTAAAACTAAAAACACGTATTTCTACTATGGCACATTCAATGAAATAAAAAGTTCTCCAAAGACAGATAGACAAATTCCATCAAGAAAATAATACAAAGTTTGTTTGTTTGTATTTCTTTTTTTAGAAAATTACATTACTTTCTTTCTTTGTTTCACATTACAAAATCTTTTTTTTCTTTACACAAATCACATTTTATTGCAGGAATATTTCAAGTGCCATCAAATATTTATAGAAGGGTTAAAAAAATAGAAGTCTCTCTAAAGTGGTCCAGACAAGGCTTTGTATAGAATAAATCTTTTTTTTTTTCCATCTTCTAGTTTTGATTTAAGTATTCTGAATACATTTTCTTTTCCATTGACACTTAGTAGCCTAGAAGCGGTCCGACACATACACATCATACATACAAAAACCACATGCGCGCACACACACACACACACACACACTCCCTCCTCACCTGACCCTCAGCCCATCCCCATACACTCACAGAGATCTGAATATCCACACTATAAAGAACAACCAAACTTAGAAGCAGTGTCTTAAGTAATGTTTTCTTTAAGTTAGAAAGGGTGAATTAGGATGCTGAAGACTTAAAAAAAATCCACACCTTTAAAGCAAATTAGGATGCTGAACACTTAAAAAAAAAAATCCATAGCTTTAACCACAATTTGCAAACTGCCCCCAAAAGCACTTTCATCTGCACTTTTGCTTTCATTGTGACCAAAGCCAGTTTCTTCACAACACAATGCAACCATTTGGACACCACTGTAACCGAAGGTATTCAGGCTTTGTGCAAAAGCCTTATTTACCATACGTTTAAAAATTGTATAAGAGGCATTATAGCAGTCAGGATAACAATGATGTGATTCCAATCTTTAAAAGACTATTGGACATTTACGTTTAGGCAATTTTAATTACAAGAACGATTAAGAATAATTGTTCTATATCACCAAGTATTTTGTGTCATCACACAGGTATTTCTATAATAAGGAAGAAATTAAAAATACAAAGTTTTTCACATCCTTATCTGCACTTCATATTTTTTCAACAAAAATTGTTTAACTTCAGATCCCAACTTCGATCCGTGTAATAGTTGTTCCCTCATTTCACCGAGCACGCCTCTACGACTCTGTTCCTACACTGTCGATGTACTTCATCTTAAAGTCCACACCCTGTTTTTCTTTCACAAAGACCTAGTAGCAGCATCATGTCAATGTATCTTGGTTTACTCCAAAAGCAATGTCACCATGGAGTGACTTACTGAGATTAGAGCATTTTTTTTTTTTTTTGCATTAGGTACATGCAAAATCCTTTCTGGGAAAAGAAATTTATGTTCAACATTGTATTCTCTCTCACCCTCAGAGAAGTCCAATTAGCTCTCATCATTTCACAAATGGACACTGGAATTAGGTTTAGTTGCTCTTTAATGCACTAGCACCTGAGGCTGGTCATATTCAGAAAGCTTTGGTTAAAAAGAAATTAATAGACTTTAATAAAATCATCCCCAAATTTAGTGAATCAAAATGACAAAAAAACAAAAACAAACCCAAACCCAAATAAAACACACTGGTTCTTCCCAAAAGGAGAAACAATGGGGGGGGGGAGGATGAATAAATAACTGAACTAAAGTTGGTACTCTATTCAGAGTATAAATACTATTGATTTTTCAAGGAACTATGTTTATTTAAATTAAAAATTTGATTTAACCCTTCTTGCCCAAATATAAATCCTATACTTTGATTGTTACCTCTCTAGATAAAGTCACATAAAGTTTTATATGCTTGTAAGAAATTTAAGTAAATACTATTCTCATCTTCTACTTATGCTTAAACCCTTACTGTATTTTTGAAAAAAAAAAAAAACTTTTGTTAAAAGATGTTATTTAGGCTTCATACACACTTCTGTGTGAATAGTTCCTTCCCCTTTTCCAAGTCCCTCAGGAAACAAGTCAGAAAGTCAGTGGAGTTAAAAACAGAGTGGAGGGCTCTGGGTGACCCAGCAGGAGTTGAATTCCTGCAGAAGATTGGAGGATGGGGTAAGAAACCCTGGTGGTAGAGGAGATCCTTTCTTCCCTGTAAAAGGGTGCTAGGAAACGCTCACCTTTACACCATGGGAAGATGTTCTCTCTTCTCTATAGACATGGTCTTTGATGTCAGGCCAGAAGTTTGAATCCCACTCCAAGTGTGACTAAAATCATCTAAACGCCTATATTCTCAAAGGTCACTTATTTTGGAATATGCACACTTGCCTTATCAGACTGTTCCTTTCCCCTTTCCCCCCACTGGGAATTATGTAAAAAACAAAAAACACACACATACACAAAATTAAACAAAAACAACTCAATATTTCTCACCTGAATACAAAAGCCAAACTGTCTTCTAAAGATTTAATAAAATAAATTACAGTCCACAGTTTTCTAGTGAAGATAAATACAAAAGAAAATGTTTGCAGCTTGCATCGACTTCACTTTAAAGACTTAACAATAGTCAACATTTAAATAACAGAAACTGGTTCAACATCATATGTTTCCTTTGCCCTCCTGTCCACTGACTGTGAAATATGGAGAAGAGTGTTCTAGAATGACACCATGGAGAGGCAGTTAGTCTAGAAACCATTCACTCTGAAAGTCTCAGGGTTCCTAGATGATATCAAGAACATAAACATTCATGAACTAAATGCTTCATGTCTTCACACATGGGGAGTGTGCGTTTGCTCCAGACAAAATCTTTGGGTCCTTCTTCTACTAAAAGCTAGATTCTGATAAATATTCTGGTTACTGATCTGTTCTTAAAGCCTAAGAATTCCAAGTTGAGACTGAGTCTACTCAACTGTGTAAAATGAGCACCCCCTCACCCCCCAATCTCCATGAGGTGGCATGTTCAAAAGCTTTTGAAAAATACTGTGCATGAGGGTGTAAATCCACCAGAATCAATCACTCAACTTTGTATGAAGCATAAACACATCTATCCTTAAACTTATCCAAAAGCAAAGTACAATTTAGGGAGAGTTTTATGTCTAATTCCAAATTCACATGTAAAAAAAAAAAATTAATCCAACAGCATGATTTCTAGATATGACCAGCCAGTCTTTTAAAAATAATTGTGTAAACAGCAGCATAAATACCTCCCGACGTACCTTCCAAGCCTTCTCAGTTAAACTTGTGTTTCTGGTGCACATGCGACACGACAGTGAACACGCTAGCATTTAATTTAAAGAAAAAAGGTGCAAAATGAAAGTGCCTTATCAATTCAACAGGAAAAGCTACTCCAGTAACTACATTTTATATTAATTAAAACAATATATAAACAATATCTCTTTTTAGCTATATATAGTCTTCATGCCCATTTACCCTGTAATATATTATAATGCTATTGTTGCTAGTGCCATGGACCCTTTTCATGCCATCCTGCTGACTGGCAATAATCGGTGAAAAAAATAAAAACTTCCTTCATGAGACAAAGAGCAAGTTGTGCAAAGTAATGCCGCAACCTCCGCTATGCACACCAGTCACCGATTAGTGCTGGACCCTCTGTGGTTACCGACAGATGGGTGACTCTGTAGAAAGTCTGTGGGCAGTGAGCTACAAGAAAAGGACATCTTCCAACTTTAGTACCCGCCTTCTGTTGTAAACAGAGGTCAACGATCAAGAAGTCGAGACAGAAAAAGGGTCCATATCTGTAGGCATAATGGAAATCATATGCATGAGAAAAACAAGTTCAACTTTTATTTGTTTTCATTGTTTCCCCTCCTTTGCCTGACCCCGATCACCAAAGGATGTGCAGTGTGTTGGCGCTCCAGGTCTGTGCAGGGCCATATAAAGTGTCTCGGTTAATTGATTTGTTTGCTTTTCATTGTTTGGACTTCAGACATTCTAGAAGTGCTTAGGTGATACATTTACCCATCAATCTGCATGGCTGGCTCAAATTCTGAAGTGAACAACTCCTTGTATAATGGAGGAAAATGAAGTCGCACAATGTCTGGGTATATTGCTTTAAACGCCATTAGCTTTTCTGTATGCCGTCCACATAAGGCTCTTAATGTAGACACCTTGCATATCAGCTGTAAGTGGAAGAAAGGACACAGGGTCAGGAGAGAAGTGATGCGAGAATCAAAAATCAGGGAATCTCGACAATCATCACAACACTGTTTACAAAGATGAAACACACTTGAAACAGCTTAAACATCTAGTAATAGAGGGATGGTAAAAATAAATGATATACTCATAGAATACCAGGTATATGTTAAATATGATTTTGAAGACAAATATTGTCTTCAATAATTTGTAACCCGAAAAGATGATCATGAGCAAAAGAACTCAAGTCTCTTACTTCCTCCTCCTATTCAACATGCTTTCTGCTCTATCATCCTGAACCCTGTCTTTTACCCCTGGGGAAAAGGAAGAGATGTGGTGAGAGAGAACAGAGAAGCGGGCCAAGGGGCAGCCACGGGGAGACAAAGTCACTGCTACTACAGGCAAAGCCATCTTTAGATATTTTATGCAAAAGGAATACTAGCCAACTCCAACGACAACAAGTTTCTTCGCTAGAAAGAGCTCTACCTAGAACAAAGCAATTCTGGGTCTGAGCAAAAGGCCCTGGTTTGAAAAAAAAATAAGTTAACAGGACTGGTGGAGTCTCAGCACTGACTGTTTACCTGCTGAGGACAGTAGCATGACTTGCACAAATGCTTTTTAAACTCTAAAGCACTGTACAGCACAAAATATCCAACTCAGAATCATTCTAAGAAATGTTTCACCAGAGCATCGATCTTGACCATGTGTTATGTGTTAGGTGCTCTCTATAATCAAAGACCCTAATGGTATCCTGGCACTGGGGCAAGAAGATGGAGAAGGGTTCTTCTTCCATTTCCCATTCCTGCCTCAGTGTCTCATTTAACAGATGCAAAATCAAAAACAAATTGCAATTAACCCCCAACTTCTCCTTTCTGACCTTGCCTAGCTATCAGGAGAAAAGAATGAAAGTAAACAGGAAGAAAACCCCAAACCTTTCAAATAATCATCTGGAACAATAAAACAAATAAAATAATCCAAGAAGAACAGATTTTTCTAAGACTAAATACATACTACTAGCACTAGCACCAAAGGATATTAGCCTATTTTAAATTGCCATCCTAATTATATCTTTATTGTGAAAGATAATAAGCACAAATGAAATCTTATGTTTTGCATACAGGGTAGTAATGAGAAATTGATGAAGAAAATACAAAAGTCATTTACTGTTGATTATTAATGAATTTAATGGAAATAGAACTAAAATTAAAATAGATGGTTACTCTGGTTGCTTTAGTCCTTCATCACTTCCTTCTTCTAAATTCCAAGATTTAAATTCTAAGTTCTCTAGTTTATATCAGTGTGGAACATTAACTCTGCTTTCTGTCCATCTCTTATGGAATAGTTGGGGGAGGGTTTCAGAATGATTAGTGCTTTAAAAAATATTCTATCATTGCTCCATTATTCCAGGACACTTTATAACCAATGATAATAAATAGAACTTAACCTGAATTTTGGCACAAGAGAATTTTCTGAAATGGAGATACTTCTTTCTTTTCAGTAGCTTGCCACTTACTGAGGATTCTGGGCTCTGGTGGGATGACTTACAAACATGATTGGCGTGATCACTGGCAAGAGGTAATCAGCTGTGTCAATTGGAAACCTTTGGCTCTCACCTTTGTTAGTATGCCATCTTCTCGGTGATTCTTCTGTAGGACATGTTGAAGAGCTAGCTGAATTTTCTGTTGGAGCTTTTCGATTTTTACCTTTTCCTGCAGCCATGAGCGATCTAAATGTGAAAAACCAGACTCCTTAGTATTCTTCCAATTGGTGTCAGAACACCCAATTCCTCCTGACTCTTAGATATAGATTATTACACCACAATACAGAGTCAGGGACTATTAGGCCACTTTCACCCCTCATTCAAAATTTGCTCCTAAAGAAGAAGAACACTAATCTACGACACAAAACAGAGTGCTAAGCCGTTCCATTTTTACTGACATCTGAAGGGAAGGAGGATCCTCCTCTTCCAAAAAGATAGTCATTTCAATCTAAAACCATGCTCAAACAAGTGCAAATGAAACCACCACCGCCCCTCAACACTTTCTGAAAGTTACATTTCTGAAGGAAATACTCATGTCAATTCTCTTAGCCATTCCAAAAAAATAAGAAAATTGTCTTAAGAGTACAAGGCAACTAAAATTGTCAAGAGAAAGCCAAATTAATTAAGGGTTGTTAGTTTAGGATAGAGTTGAAGGAGTCTTTTGGGCCTAGAAAAGAGAACAGTCTCAAAGGCCCCTTGCTGAATCATCTAACTTCGGAGAAAACAAAGCATAACTTTAGTTCCATCCTGATGCTCCAGGCCAGTTGCATCTATCTGGGACTTATCACCCCCTGTCCGGAAACCTACCACCCCCTACACCCGCCCAGAAGACTCATCACCCCCTGCCCAACTGCAAGTATCATCTCAACAAAAGAATACTCAAAATATCCCGCCTGACTGACGTTTCCCTTATCGCTGCCACAAACCTCCCTATGAAGCCTCCCTGATCCCTGGCGCTCAGCCTGGTCGTTAGGCCGACTGTCGCCCCTTCTTGCCTGAATAAAGGTAACCTACTTCTGTTGAGGTCGTCTTTCCTTTTCTGCCTCGCTGGAACTATGCCTTACAAGAGTCTTTATGACTAAGAATTCCAAAAAGAAGATAGCAAATTTTCAAAAGTGATTATCACCAAGAGGCAGTACTGGTTAAAAACAGAAATTAAATTCAGATAAACTTGTGGATGACATCCAAACGGACTTTAAGAAAAAGGAGAAGGTTTTAAACACCACATTTTCTTGGACATTGGTGTTTAAGGAGGGCAAGCCTACTCTGCCACAGCCTTTCTCTTGTTATCAGAAGGTTAACTGTAGACAGGATTTTATTCAATTCTCATCTCTTAAGAGTTTATCAGAATGGCATGAGGTCTTAAAATAGTACATGTACAAATGTGTGTATCAGAGGGATTGTTACCTGAAAAACTGAAAATTAGATTTTAACAAGGGTGGCAGTCTCTCTTTGTATCCCCCTGAATATACTATAGCCGTTATAAGTTGTGTACTTGTAAAAATTCTTTACCTGGACAATTTAAAAACCATTGTATTTGGTTATCTCACCTGCTGACATCAGGACAAATGCAGAAAATAATGCAATTTCATCTTCAGTCAGGTGCATAGAACATAAACTCTTTCCAAATTCAAATACAAAGCTAATAAAGTCTTCACAACCTGCCAAAATTAAAGACAGGTTAGGATTTTAGTTATTATCCTAGAAAAAAAGATGGAAAAAAGTGAAGAGAGATCTAGTAGTTGAAGATCAGAGAGAATACTAATAACATTTCTTGTAGTGTAATACTTTCAAACCTTAAAAGAAAAAACCAGTTTAGCCACCATCACCATTACTATCAATATCATCATTCACAATGAGAGGAAACTTTAAAAAATATTGTAATTTAAGATATATACATGTATTCTTTTATTGATCACACCACATGGCATGTGGGATCTTAGTTCCCTGACCATGGATTTAATCAGTATCCCCTGCAGAGGAAGCATAGCGCCTTAACGACTGGATTGCCAGGGAAGTACCATTGACAGTTAACTTTTATTAGGTGATTACTACGTTAGGTGCTGCTCTGAGAGGATTCTTTGGGCACTCTATCAATAATACAACAGCCCTATGAAGAAAGTATTATTGTTACTATCCCCACTGTAAAGACAAGGAAACAAACTTGGGAAGAAAAGGAATGTACTCAAGACAGCATGAGATTCAAAGCTAGATGCCTAACTTCAGGGCCCACACTCTCAACCAACAGAGCCTAACAGTTATAGTCTGAGATGCTAATTTCACTCATTTTTTGTTTTCCTTAAAACAAACAAGGATGTTAAAACAACATGCTTAAAAATGAAAACAAATGACACTTTATGGTAGTAAAACCATTATAATTATTATAGAACTGAAAACACAGAATGTGAAAGTCCCATAAAATAAAAATCCACCCCCCAAAATTGGTTAAGTTTGGTGTCTGTTCTTTCAGATTTCCATATTATGTGCATATAATTAAATGTCAATGGGCTATTCTCAAGTATATATACCTCTCAAATATATATTCTCAAGTATATATATGCCATTTACTTGTTTTTGAAATCATTTAACAACATGTCTTGGATACTATCCCAATTTTAATGACTTTATCTCACTTTATTTAAATTATAGACATCTAAAATAGTTTATTTCTAAGGTATATGCCATAGTTTCACTTAACTATACTTTCTTTCTTTGATATCTCATTAACATTGTTATTTGAGGGGTATGGAAGGGCAGACTTTCAGATCTTTGCTTGATTTATGTAGTAAATCATATCTTCCAGTTTACTGAATAACATATCCTCTGTAAACCTGGTTCTTAAAATCTGGAAGGGAACTGGAAGAATATATAACATAAATTTCTTTGATGACCAAATAGATAAAATGAAACTCAAGACCTTTACATGTCATATGGACACAAAGCATTTGAGCTGTGTAAATTTTCTATGGTAATTAATTAGAAAGTATTATTAACACAGGTATGCATTAGTGTATAACATCCTTTAACTCTTATATCCCAAAAAACCCATGATTTCCATTTTGTTCAAGAGCTATCACCCAACTCCCAACTTTTCCCCTAGCCCTGATTTGAAGACGCTTTCTTACCTAAGGATTTGAAGACATCGGGGCTAGCATATTTCCCATCGAAGTACACGGTATTGTTCTGAGAGTCAAAGGCACGGCACATTCTGATAAATACCACCTCTAGAGAACCTGAGCAAAGGCAGAAATGGAATGGGTTATTCTGTCTTGGTGAGTAGCTTTTGACCTTAGAGACCCCTTTCTGAGTCAACAGGGCTGGGCTTAGCCCATGGGCATGCAGTCACCTTATCTCTTTATTTAAAAGGGCAGAGTTCACTAGAGTAATTAAAGACTTCTGCCTAAGCTAAGGCCTGTATTACGTAAGAGAGATTGTGTCCTACAATAATCCAGTCTTGGAGTTGCTACAAACACAAGCATGCGTGCATGCTCAGTTGTGTCTGACTCTTTGCAACCCCATGGACTGCAGCCCTCCAGGCTCCTCTGTCCATGGAATGTTTCAGGCAAGAATACTGGAACAGGTTGTCATTTTCATACTCCAGGGGATCTTCCTGACCCAGGAATGGAACCAGCGACTACTGGGTCTCCTACACTGACATGCGGATTCTTTATTATTGAGCCACCTGGGAAACCCAGAAACACACAGACTCCTGTTATTAAAACAAACAAACAAACAAAAAGCCAGGGATATCTCTCTGAATTCCATAAACAGCCATCTTCCTAACAACTTATCAAAACCTCCTGAGGGCCTAGGGCACAGAAACGAAACACAGGTGATGGTTAGGGCTGGGGAATGCAGGTGTCTTTCAAATTAATCTTTTTTTTTTTAATAATAATTTTGTTTTCATTTATTTTTATTAGTTGGAGGCTAATTACTTTACAATATTGTAGTGGGTTTTGTCATACATTGACATGAATCAGCCATGGATTTACATGTATTCCCCATCCCTATCCCCCCTCCCACCTCCCTCTCCACCCAATTCCTCTGGGTCTTCCCAGTGCACCAGCCCGGAGCACTTGTCTCATGCATCCAACCTGGGCTGGTGATCTGTTTCACCCTAGATAATATACATGTTTTGATGCTGTTCTCTCGAAACATCCCACCCTCGCCTTCTCCCACTGAATCCAAAAGTCTGTTCTGTACATCTGTGTCTCTTTTTCTGTTTTGCATATAGGGTTATCGTTACCATCTTTCTAAATTCCATATATATGTATTAGTATGCTATAATGTTCTTTATCTTTCTGGCTTACTTCACTCTGTATAATGGGCTCCAGTTTCATCCATCTCATTAGAACTGATTCAAATGTATTCTTTTTAATGGCTGAGTAATATTCCATGGTGTATATGTACCACAGCTTCCTTATCCATTCATCTGCTGATGGGCATCTAGGTTGCTTCCATGTCCTGGCTATTATAAACAGTGTTGTGATGAACATTGGGGTGCACGTGTTTCTTTCAGATCTGGTTTCCTCGGTGTGTATGCCCAGAAGTGGTATTGCTAGGTCATATGGCAGTTCTATTTCCAGTTTTTTAAGAAATCTCCACACTGTTCTCCATAGTGGCTGTACTAGTTTGCATTCCCACCTCAAATTAATCTTTTCACAGAGAGAAGAAGCAAAATGGAGGGAATGTTTCCTTCAAAAAACTCAAACATTTAAAAAAAATCCCTTAATTTCTGCAAAGTGAAACCTGAGCTATTATCATTTGGAGAAAAACTGTTCGCGACACCTTCCTTACCAAGCATTTCTTTAATAAGCTGGTGAAAGCAGGTTAGGAAGAGATCTCAAAATTCACTTGCAAAGCACATACCTGCTTTGAGAAGCACAATTTGATCGTTTTGACATAGTTCCATAAATCCATCAATGCGTTTGGCAAACTCCACCACGTATTGTATAGCTTCTGTAATTTTGATGGCACACAATTGCCACATCACCTCCCGCTGCTGTTGAAGAGGGAAATACATTAACATCCACAGTTACCCATATCCTTGACACAGTTGTTCTAAGTTTTCCTATTGTGTACAATCCTTCTTTGGAAATAGATTCCCAAAAGCTAGAGGATTTAAGAATAAACAGTTGGCCAGTTACTTGGGTTACAATGATTGCTTCCAAGTTCTTTCTCATCTCCTTCAAGTCCTCTCTTGCCATCTTGTTAGCAAAGGGCAGGGGGGAGATGTTATGGGCATACATGCAGCAGAAGATGAAAACCCATGTGAGGAAAGTCACGCATGCCACTGCTTTAACCCTGGGCCACAGAGAGCGGGAAAGTAGAATCTCCTTTTAAGCAATTACTTAGCCTCGGGGAATTTCATACCACTTCACTTGAGGAAGACAGGAAAGGGGGAGTCAGTTACATTTTCTGTGCACCTGCTATGAGCTGGGCGCTTTCTGACATCCTTGTCTCATTTCTCTTCCACAAGAACGTTTTTCCATTTGCCATAAATGAGCACAAACACTCAAAGAGGTTTCACAGCCAGGAGGCACTGCAGCTGGGATTTAAACCCCAGCATTTCTGGCTCTGAATCCTATTTTGCGCACCTTGTGGCTGTTTAATGCTTTCCTGCTTCCCATTGTAACTGTGGCTGCTGGTGTTATCTCAAAGGCAAACAAGGTGATATGCTGCTATTTCCCAACCTGTCGTGCTTAATTCCTTTTTATATAGCCACTCTGCAATTTAGTTACAGGCTAACCTAGGTCTGTCTTGCTGCTCACTTACTTCCCCAATCGTAGTTTAAGGCTGTTTCCACCAATATAAGAGGGTGGGAGAAGTACTGAATTAGGAGCCAGGGCTCATGGTCTAGTCCTGATGTTTTCAATCTCCAGCCATACACTAAGGGATGTTAGCTTCCTTGAACGTTAAATGAAGAGGAGGATTAACCTCAATAATCTGCACGGTACTTCCTAAGCCAGCATTTCCATGATTTGGGGGCGGGCGGGGGGGTGTGGAAATCAAAGCATTTTCTTTTACTAAGGGCAGAATGGATAATTAAATGTCCCCCTTCTCCAGCCCTGCCCTGAGCAGTGTGTTTTATAGAAAAAAATGAGTGCCAGCAGCACTATTTGTCAGCCTCATATTGCTAGATTCAGGCTGGAGTTAGGATCATAGCTTCCAAATCTCTTTTTTTTCTTTTAACACATATTCTCTAAACTCCTTCTTTTTAACCTCTGAAACCATGAGGCTAACATTATTTTACGTCAACTTCTAGACCGTGAAATCTCCCATTGTGATATCGGGAAAAATCCCAACTCATTGAGGCTTTTGGAAGCAACTTAATCTAGCCCCCAGTAGATAAGTGATGGGACAAACATGTACAGTTATCAGAACAACAGAATCTCTGTGCTATTTCTGAAATTTTGCACAGTGACATTCCACTAAGGTGACAAAGCCCCAGGAATATAATCAGCTCTGGAAGAAAGATTATTAAGTAGAAATCTGCTATCTGATGAAAGACATTCATTTTTTGGTCTGTTTGTATTCACATCTTCTACATGTCCCGGCGTTGCCTCAATCTTAGGTAAAACTGTTCAGAGCCTACCTTGTTTTGATAATTCTCAATCTCTTCCTGCAGAAAGGTCTGCCACGTTATCTGCTGGAGCTCTTCTCTCAAGTATTGGCAAGTTTCCAGATGTGATTTAGATATATTCTGTGCAAGGTGTTCTAAGGAGAAAAATAGGAGATCACAACATGAAAAGTCATTCTTCTTCGGATAATCAGTGTTTTACTTACTCAGTTATTCAATTTAAAATGTAACAAGTATAAAGCAACAGGCTGAACCAGGTTTAATTATCTTGACATATTTCAGTAAGTAATCTGGAACTATTCTGTGTTTTAGAGCAGGAAGAAGGACAGGCAAAGCCAACATTTAACAATAAGACTGCATGCCTTCAAAGAGCCTGCTAATCTTGACCACCTTCTGTGCCTTACACTAGTGTCTGGGTGTGAGCAAATATCGACCTAGACAAGTGTGAAAAATGACTGACACAATCTCTACTTGGCATTTTTATGAAGATACATCTGCCACATACATTTATGGGGGGGATTACTCTTGAAAAATTAGCCAATGGTATTTTTTATGACGACAATTATGTGTGGTGTTTGTTTTTCCTGCAAAATTCAGAACAAGCATTGCTGAAAGCCTACCCAGTCGCTATATATAGTGTGGTGGTTAAGAGCTGGACTTTGCAGCCAGATTGACTGGGTTGGAATCTCAGCTGTGCTGTTCAGTAGTTCTGTGATCTTAGGTAAGTTACTTCACCTCTCTGCTTCAGTCTCCTGATCTGTAAAATGAGAAAATAGTACCTATTTCATAGGGCTTCTGTGAGAATTAAAGGAGTTGAGCACTCAGAATAGAGAGGATAACACAGCACCTGTTACAGAAAACATTTGTTCTCATACTGAAGTGTAAGGATTTTGAAGACATTAAGGAAATAGAAGCCAAATAATTTCTCAAGGAACTTATAATCTGGTGAACATGTACAGACACACAGAAAGGTCAATTTAAGACATTAGACAATAAAGCATGAGGTTGAATTATATGAGAAGGGAAAGAAAAACAAAGGTAATAGGTGCTATCAGGGAAGGGAGAGATGAGCGAAATTAGGCGATGCTTCTAGGCAGACTGGATTTGTACTGGATCCTGAAGAATGGGGAGGTTTTGGTAGCAGAGGCCAGTGGTGTGCGGCAGTGGGCCAGTTCCACATTCGAGGGATGGTAATTGAAAGAACAAATATGACATTTGTAGGAGATAGGAAGATTTGATAAAGTGATGGTTCAAAACAGGAATATTGGTAGGTAAGAGTCCAAATCCTGAAGGACCTGAACGTGGAGACTGAGTAGGGACTTGATTGACAAAAGGAGTCAGTGGGATTCTCAAGGAGGAGCTGACATAATGAACATTGTACTTGGGGAAACAGAACATGTAGTTCTGCCATTGGTGGACTAAAGGATGGAGAGGTTGGAGGACCAATTAGAAGGCCGCTGAAATCTACATGTAAGGGGCTAACAGCTTGAAATAAGTTGCTAATAATTGTTACAGAAGGGAAGGACAATTAAAGAAGTATTTTAAGGAAATTCCCTGGTGGCCCAGTGGTTAGGATTCCAGGCTTCCACTGCAGCAGGTGTGGGTTCAATCCCCAGTTGGGGAACTAAGATCCTGCAAGCTGTGGGTGTGGCTAAAAAAAGAAGTATTCTAAAGAAAAATTGATAAGATTCCAAGAATACAAAATCATACCCCAAAGTGATCCCTTCCTTGCATCTTGAATATATAAGAAAGTTACTTAAAACAACGGTGCCGAGTGCAAACTTAGCAACACTAATATGACTATTTATTTAGAAATTTGTTACTGCTTTCCTCAAACAGAATCAAATTTGTTTGTGTGAAAACAGAGCCAGGATCAAGTAAATGAAGCTTGAAACTAGAATCTCCTTAGAGAAACTGAAACACAGTAAACCTCACCAACCCTACTTGGCAACACATAGACATGAAAACAACATAAGGAAACATCATAAACAATAAAACATAGATTGAAAGAAAAAAATAAAGGAAAGAAAGAGACAAACTGAGAGAGAGAAAGAGGGAGAAACCAGTAAATTATGTCTTAGAATCAGTGATGCTTGTGAAGAGAATTGGGGAGTAAAGACAAAAATAATGGGGAAGCTGGGAGAATCCTGGAAGGAGAAGGATGGGAAGAAGCTCTTGGTATTAGCTTCCAGATCCTGTTTTTTTCTAGTTAACATGGTCAAGCATCTTCTTGTTTCATTTCATCCTAAAACTTGTCACCCCTACCTGTCTGAGTCCAGCTTTTAGAAGCAATTAACAAATGATGCAATGTTCCATGACCAGTAGAGGGCAGTGGCTGCATTCTCACCAGCTGCCTTTGATCAAAATTCATATTTGATTTGGCAAGGGTAAGATTTTTAGACACTTCCCTATTTTTAAGTCTCTATTTCAGCAGAGAAGAAAATGCTCAGATGGAGTAAAAGCTAAGGAATTAGTGCAGTCTCTCAGACAAACAGTCTGGTATAGTGAAATACCTTGGAACTAAGAGTTACGAGACCTGTTTTCTGGTCTGAGCTCAGTTGGATAACTCGTTTTGTGACAAGCAAATCAGCTCAGGTCCTCAACCATGACCGTGCATCAGTAGAGCCAAGGTGTAGATACTTCAGATAGAAAATCCTGACTTCTAAGTCACAGATTTTCATAGTGGGATGGAACTTTAGATATTATCTGGTCCAAACTCTCCTCACTTTGTAGATAATAACATTAACAATGATGATAAAATTTGACACTGAGGTAGAGTTTACTATGTGCTATGCTCACATATACATACACACATACATATACATATACACAGTCATATATATATACATACACACACACACACACACATATATATACACATATTTTGTCTTTAGTCTTTATGACAACAATTCTAGGAGGAAAGATACTAATGACAATTGTACTAATTACCCCATTTTACAGATGAAAAAACCAAGCCACAGTGAGGTTAAGTGACTTTTCAAGGTGTCATAGCTGGCAAGTGGACAGTGATTCAAACATATACAAAAGCTCCAGAATCTATGCTCTGAATCTTTATATTCCATGGGTAGAGAGTTTACAGCTTACAGAGGTAATGTGACTTACACTAGGTTGTACAACCTACAGCAAAGCTAGAAACACCCATATAAGCTGACTTCTTGCCTCATTCTTTGCCCAACATATCAGTTGTCTCTCATAGAAGGCCTTAGTAATTATAGTAATAAGTGCAATTAGCTATTTTTAATTTCTTTTTCTTTTTTTTTGCTACACCAGTTGACTTGTCGGATCTTGGTTCCCTAGTCAGATTTGTTTGTATGAAAACAGAGCCAGGATTACCTAAATGAAACTTGAAACTAGATCCCCTAACCAGGGATGGAACCAAGGACCCATGGCAGTGAAAGCACCATGTCCTAACCACTGGCACGCCAGTGAATTCCCAAGTTAACTTAAAAAAAAAATGAACATAGATTGTTTATCTGGAGTATGTAATTCAGATACTAAGTGTATTGGGTGGGCCAAAAATTTGTTTGGGCTTTTCCATAAGATGTTACAGAAAAACCCAAACAAACTTTTTGGCCCACCCAATACACAAAAGGCAAAATTTCACAGCCAGGAAGTCAGATATATTTCACTAAAAGTAATGGAGTGTAGATACTGTTAAGGAAAGAACTGATCTTAGGATATGTTAATTTATAATTTATTTTCCAACTGCACAAATGGTTTCATTTGTTTCAAATTTAATGACAAAATTTAGCCTAAATGAAGTCATTAGTTAAAGAAAGAGCAAGGACTTAAACCCTAAAGGAAATGTCAGGGTTTCGGAGAGCTTTACAGAAGCATTAGCAAAGTCTTTGACCATTTTTAAGCCACTCTTAAGCCCTCAAACTATTTTGCACATGTAAATGGGACAGAAAATCAGAGCCCCATTACATCCTTTTTCCAGATAAATTCTTGTTTAGTTTTGGGTTTGCGGAAAATCCTGATGACGACTTAATTTTATTCATCATGGAAAATGCCACAATACATGTGAACAGTCCCTAGTTTAGAAGAAAGAGGAGAATGGATGAGAGCACAGGGCTCCCAGGCTCACTGGAAGGTGACAGCTACGGAAGAGGAAAGAGATTGGTCAGGGAAGAGGGGCTGGGGAAACTGAGTGCACTTTCAGCCCAAGTGCCATGTTCAAGGGCCACACACAGGCCAAGCTGTGTGGGTTATCTCCGGATTGAACATCCAACAGGCAAACAGGAGAGATTCACTCGTATTTATCATAAAGTAGAAGCACACCTAAAGTGAGCCAGGTCATCTTTCACGATATCATGTCAGCTTTCAATCAAATCCTTATTCATTTCTGAAAATTTTACTTTCATTACAGCTCTGCTTAAGGTTCAGCCAACCAAGATCTCCTGACAAAAACGGAAGGTTTTTGTTCTAGTTCAAGAAAAAAAAAAAAAAATCAAACCTACCTCTGCTCAGCTTGGCTTCTAGTTCAGAGGTTTCTCTGTTAATCAAAAGAGCTGTGCTACACGTTTAATGCTGTGCAGTGGTTAAAGACCAGGCTTAAAATGTCCCTGCTCTTGAGGATTTAAATTTAGACCCATAAAAAGGTGCTTGTGTAAAAACCGTAAAGAACATTCAATTTGTTATATTTGGAGAAAGATTTTACTGGAAATATAAATTTCACTTAAAAACTGTTTTGTGGGGTACAGAGGTAGAGGAAACCATCTAAAGAACACAACCGTTATTTCTGTGAACCAAGGACATCTGTGCTCAAGTCAGAACCTGCTGGTTCTTTTCCATGTGAAGTCTTCCTTCTCTCCTGGTCTTAACTTAGTCACCCCCACAGCAACTAATTGAAATATCCCAGAGGATTATGACCTTGTATGAGGAACCACGGGGTGAAACAGATCAAATTCGCAAACAGCAAAGGTCCTTATTAAAGTTTCTCTAATAATAGTGCTGTACTTAAAAATCGATTAAATATAACAGAGGATGTTATAACACGACTCCCTTGAAATGAAAAGCTTTCCATTGTCTGTGCTAACATTTCTAGGTCACATCTCCCAAGAAGCACCAATGTCACAGGAATGAGGAAATGACAGGGTTTTTTTTTTTTTTTTGCATGGTGAGTCTTCTATGAAATACATCAGTTTTGTCATTAACATCCATCAACAAAATTTTGGAAAGTAAAGAAGCCAATTTCCCTTTAATGTTTATAGACTACATCACAGTTGCAAAGGTTAGATGCATACAGGGACTGGGCAGTGATATAAATGCCGAGTGGGATGGACCCATTGAAAGGTGGGAGGCCCTGACTGGAACCAGTTAGTTGTTGACATTTACAAATACTGATCCAATATAATTAGATCATTTCTCCCCCCTCCCACAAGAAACTGAAAATCTGAACTTGCAGATGGAACCCTCCAGGTTTAAATTTTCAGCAACTAATTCAAAAATTGTAAAGCTCGGCACTGGTTAAAAACCATGCCTATGGGCCAGGTTAAGTTGGTGGGTTGCCATTTTTACAACTTTTAGTATAAAGCAATACTTAGAACATATTGAAAGCAATGGAGTTGGTGGGGCCATTCCCTGAGCTTACAGTTTTCTATGGAATTTAAGACCACTTTAAGTTAATGTTGTCTCAGCTCTGAAGCTGAGAGGTCAGTCAGTTTCTTGGATATGTGATGGGAGACAGTGGAGAGTCAAAAGCAAGGGGAAAGGCAGGAATTATGAAGTGCTTCCAAGGGAGACTACCCTGCTGGCTCAGATGGTACAGAATCTGCCTGCAGTGCAGAAGACCTGGAGTCAATCCCTGGGTTAGGAAGATCCCCTGGGGAAGGGAATGGCTACCTGCTCCAGTATTCTTGCCTGGGGACTTCCATGGTCAAAGGAGCCTGGAGGGCTACAGTCCATGCGGTCACAAAGAGTTGGACAAGACTGAGCAACTATCACTTTCACTTTCCCAATGGTAAAGGTGAACTGCCCTTCTAGATGCATCTCTCTCTCTCTCTTTTTTTTTTTGCCGTGGGGCATGTGGGATCTTAGTTCCCTGACCAAGCAACAAACCAGTACCCCTTGCATTGGAAACACAGAGTCTTACCATGGAAGTCCCTAGATGCACCATTTTAATACCATAACTTAGTAGAGGAAAGTCAGACATATCCCATTTCCTTCAAAGGGCATGAGCAATACATCCCAACGGAAACACAGAAGCCATTACCTAGTTCTGCCATGGACACAGTTGGGGAAGTCTCTCCATTGGTGAAAGAGCAGTAGGGGAAGAAGCCTGACGCTGGTGTGTAGTCACATATGGGTTCTGGTTTGATTCCATTGATATCAAGACCTGACTGGTCCGGGGAAGGCTGTATGTCCAGATAGAAGCTGCTGACGGCAGAGTCTGCCTTGCTGCCCTCGGGGGTGTGCCCGTCGATGTAGTTGCTGAGGTCATCGTGAAGCTCCGTGAGCCCGTTGGCCGAGATGTTATAGGTGGGAGTCAGCGGCTCGGCTTCTCCAGGCTGCTGTTGGTGGTCTCGCTGCTGCTGCTGCATCCGGTGTTTCTGTACTTCTGCGTACAAGCTGTCTCTCTGCTTTTTCGACATGCGGCCAAATTTTACAGCTGGAAGAAAAAAGTCAAGCCACACCATGTACAATATGTTTTTCTCCATGATCCTCTCTTTTGTGCTTTAGGACTTCCTTTGAAGTTGCAGATAATTTTAATCAAAAACCACATAACCACCAAATAAGGACATGATCCAGAGGTAAAAACGGTCCTACCTTACATAGGCTTGCTCCACATCCCTGACAGCAAAGACATATCCTGGAGAAGCTAAGTTTGAGAAACAGACCCAGGGCTGGTAGAAGAGACCTAGAGCAATGATCACCTTTGTTTTCATGCTGTCACATAACCCCATGCTCAGTGGGAGCTACTGAACTGAAGTTTGATGGGCTTGTTCCCTCTTGACCCAGGCAGTTGGTCTAGACACTTCTTTTCTTAGTGTTCAAACCCGAGCACAGGGATGTGCAAACTCACTGGTCTACAACAGGACACAAGCAGTCAAACCTCCACATGCATTCATTTCACTAATCCATATGCTTAGATGAGTTTCTTTCTGATCAAATAGCCAGATCTGGGGCTTCCCAGAGCAAGTTCAACAGACTGCATGAAGCATTTGCAATTCCCTGGATTACATCTCTGAGTCTACCCCTCGCCTGCTCCTGGGTCATGTGGCCCCTTTGAAACCCTTGGACCCATCTGAAAAGGATACTTTCTGCTATTCTCATTGAGCCTCAAGTAAAAAAGAATATTAGGATTTTGGAAATGGTAGGCTCTGGGGAAAATCCCTGCCAGGAGAATTTGTTTGCAGCCCTTCTCTGTGCCATGTGTCCTCATATTTAAAGTGGAACAGTGACTGGAGTAACTTTCAAGTTCATTTAGCATTTCAAATGATTTCTCTTGAAACATCCAGATAACTGAGAAAAAAAAAAAAATCCTGTGATTTCCTGGTCTGAACTCCTCCACTAACCCATTTATTTCTCAGCCTAAGTAGGTATAAATAAAGCCTCTGGTGGAGGGACTAAGGTCTCCTGATTATGGTTAAATTTACACCCAACTGGGTAGATGAATTCACCCATTTGACCATCAACAAAATTCTGTGAATCTTGGGGCAGGAGGCAGGGTAGATGGAAATGAAGTTGGGAACCAGTGCCCAGCCCAACTTGTGAGATCCTTTTCCTGCCAAGGAGGATGTGGTTTCCTTTTGCATAGAGGAAACAAGTGAGCAGGATTCTGGGCAACTTCCAGCATCCATGGCTCAGGTGACAAATTGGGTGGGACTGGTTAGATAGCAGTCAGGCTGATGTGGGCTATGAATTTCAGGCCTAAAACTGTCGCCTTTTAGTCGGTAAGTCATGTCTGACTCTTCTGCGACCCCGTGGACTGTAGCCTGCCAGCTTCCTCTGTCCATGAGATTTCCCAGGCAAGAATACTGGAGTGGGTTGCCATTTCCTCCTCCAGGGGATCTTCTGGAACCAGGGGTTGAATCTATGTCTCCTGCATTGGCAGGTGGATGCTTTGCTGCTAAGCCACCAGGGAGACCCTGTCTAAAATCTCAAGACCCTGGATTAGGTCTTGAGAAAATGCACTCCCATCTGTGATTCTTTAACTTACAGATTCGTAAGAGATAAACCTAGTTGTGTGAGTTCAGGGCCACTGGAAGCTGAAATCTGTAGAGTTGCATATTACAGGAATTTCTGAGGCTATGGTGTAAGTTTTATGACTTGTATCTTCCAATCCGCAAAACTTCCCTTTGGTTCTACAAATTCTAAGAGGCAATCCTGTGTACAACTTGTGCCTGGGTAGGTCCACAGGCCCGAGAACTTCTGATTCTAGGGAAAGCAGACCTTCAGAACACCTGCCTAGCAGCCTGAAGTTATTTTTCCAGGGGCTGAAACTCCACTGCAAGTGATGCTTCCTTCAGAGGGATCTCTCAAGGGAGCCAACCAACCAGTATATTCAGAAAAGTCCTTAAACTGTATCCATTGTGCTATCAGCCCAATTTTCGTATATAAGAATAGCCTTGAAATCTGCTGTTGATTATTCAGTGTACTGAAGACAGTTTTCCAGGAAGATCCTAAACTGTTTTGCAACTGTTAAAATAGCTTGTTTTAATGAAAAGAACATTTGTCATTGAGGCCTGCTTTGCACTATTTTCACACATACTGGATGTACAAATATTTGACTTTGGATCCAGTTAGCATAAAAGCTAATTCATCCCAACTGCCAATAAGCTGACTAGTATAAAGCGCATAACAATTAGCTCTGCCTTGTGTTTTCTATGGGGAAAAAAAAATGCTTCTAGAAGGTATCCTTTTTCAGACCCTCAGGTGACACCTTACCTCCCATCAATTCATCCACCTGCAATGTCTTAAACATCAAAAACCTGAAGGTGTTCTGACCACATAGACATTTCTTCTCCATGCCCCGCCCCTGTCCCCCCCCCTCCCCCCAATCCTGCCCTGCATCAGCCAATGAGCTGACCTGGATGGTTTCTGGAGGAGGAAGTAACTGCTGTGATACCCACGGGGATGCCAGAAGAGAGAAGACTGGAGGGGGTGGTGAGGGACAGAGGGGACATATTCTGGCAGACTTGGGTTCAGGCTTCAGAAGGTACTTTCACAACCCTGTGCTATTATGCAACATAGGCCACGAGAGCTCACCATCTCGAGACATCCCCACGGCAAGGCATTTCTGTAATCGACAGTGCTGGCAGCGGTTTCTACTGGTTCGATCAATCAAACAGTTCTTTTGACGAGGACAGGAGTAGGTGGCATTGCTTTGCTGACTTCTCCTGAAAAAGCCCTGTGATTCAGTTATGAAATAGAAAACAGGTTAGTGTCAGCTTGAGCTGAATGATACTAAAGGCAGGAAAGGAAGCGCCCGACGGCATGAATATTTAATGGAGAATTAAACTTGTAGCACAATCATCCTGGAAATCATTAATGAAATTAAAGTCACTTCTTTTTCCTTGAGTAAAATGGGTCCCCAGAGCCCAATCCTCTGTCCCTTACACATGCAAAACTTTCTTTAATTGCAACAGACATTTGCCTATGTAGAAGGAAGAGGACCAGGCCCTGTTCTTGGCTTCTGATGATTGAAAGCTATATGCTTAATAACAATGGTACAAAGGCACTCATCTTTAACCTTCATCTCCAAAACATTTTTAGTAGAATAAACACAGAATGCTTCTCTGTATGTCCTGAGATGAGAAAGTGCAGCCTCACGCTAACCTAAGTGGACACTGTGGCAGTCTTAACCAGACCACATAAATCCACCACTCTTTAGGTATCCCCAAGTCAGAATCTACTGCTCCAAGAAGTTAAATGACACGTGGGTGGATTATCTTGGCAGTTCAATCAGACTGAGAATACTCTACCCTTGAGAGTTTGGAAAAACCATCTTTTCAGAATCATGGACTTTCACAATGTATGACAAAAACCACTACAATATTGTAAAGTAATTAGCCTCCAACTAATAAAATAAATAAATAAATAAATAAACTAAAAAAAAAAAAAAAGAATCATGGACTTTCAGATTGAACAAATCCAATCTGATGTTCATCAAGTCCCATGTATTTGTTAAGCATTGTTTTGTAAATAAGAAGGTGTAATAAGATGCATAAGGAGTACTGACCTCAAGGATTTCATTCATTTACTCATTTATTCATTGATTCACTCATTTTTGCTAACTCCTTGAGCTAGATTCTTTCTAGCTCATTAATATTCATTGCTTAGTCTTTTCTTAAAGTCGTCAGTGTTCCTTTTAGTTACATTTTGGTAGCAACCCATGAGTTTTGGTATATAGTATTTTCATGATTATTCAATATGAAACATGTTCTGGTTTTTAATAGATCTCTTTTTTAATCCATACGTTATTTAGAAGCACATTTTAAAAAGCTAAAGTAAGGTTGATTTACAATGTTGTATTAGTTTCTGGTGTACAGCAAAGTAACTCAGTTATATATACTTTTTTTCAGATTCCTTTCCATCATAGGTTATTACAAGGTATTGAATATAGTTTCCTAGGCTATATAATAGAAACTTGTTATTTATACAAGCACAGTCCTTTATTTTACAAATGTATGTGGGGTTTGTTTCTGGTTATCGCTTGATAGTTGACTTATCCATCAGTGGTTTTGCAAACTAGGAATGTATTCTGAAAAAAAAAAAAAAAAAGAAGGTAACCAGAGCCATTTCTATGAAGCAGAACCATGAAGGTTACAAAAGTCTATTATCATCTTCAAATCTTTAATGGCAAAGATAGTTGGCCATGGCCCAGGGGACACCAGTACCGAAGGGTAAGGTGAAATCCTGACGAATGGATGGAATGACCGAGTGCTGGGCAAACTGATAAGAGTACTCTCTCACAAGATTTTTCTGGAGGCCAACTTGGCAGTTATACTAAAATCCTTAAAAAACATGCTTATCATATGACAAAAACCACTGCAATGGTGTAAAGTAATTAGCCTCCAACTAATAAAAATAAATTAAAAAAAAATAAAACAACATGCTTATCCACTAACTAGAAATTACTCTTTAAGGAATATATTTTAAAGGAATGATAAGAAAGGTACAAGGATTTACCTACGTGGATGTTCATCACAGCACTATCTTTAAAGTAAGACAAATTTATAAAGATGCTAAATGTCCAACAGTAGTGAACTGGAAGAGTCATGTTGGATATCTGTATATTCAGCAACCACTAAAAATGGTATTTCAGAAGTACAACTATTGACATAAGGTGGTGATAGAAATGTACTGCTGAATTAAAAAAAAACCAGCTAAAGAACTAAACACAATATAATCCAATTTTGGAAGGAAAATCCATATATTTAACACAGAAGAAACCTTTGGAAAATTATGCCCTCAAATGAAAACAAATGCTGATCTTTTTCTTTTGTTTATCTGTGCTTTTTGATTTTTCTATAATATGTGAGTGGAAAGGTATACTAGCTACTCAGGAAGAACTATTCACTACATCTGCTTTCTCCCCTGACAGCTGGGGACTCTGTGGATTAAGTCATGGTTATGATGGATATAACCTCAGTTCCCAGTTCTTTCCTTTTGGAGACCAACCAAGGATGGGAGTGGCAGGCACTGACCTCTTACCAACTCTCTGATGTCTACCAAGCTATTCACTGACCAACGTGGGCAAGGTTAGGGACCCAGGATCTCAATCTGTCTCTCTGCTGTACTTCAAATTTTCCTGATATCAAGTCTGATCTCTTCTGTGAGGCAATGCCTCTTTTCTCAAAATATCTAAAGCTGTTTTTCTTTTTTTCCCTTAATGTGTTTCTTTTCTCTGTGACGAGAAAGTGAGAAGTAAAACTTTCTTTGGCACTTAATAGACTTCAAGAAAATATAAACGGTAACAGAGGCAGATGATCCTTAGAAAGAGGTACCAAGAGGTCACCTGTCTATGTATTCAGTTGAGTCAGAGACATATAATCTCTGCCAAGGCTGAAAGGTATTTCATTCTTTCTTGAGACTATACCACTCCGTGTTTGCTGTCACTGCAGGGGCTTGTTTGATCAATTGCTCAGTTACGTCCAACCCTTTGTGACCCCACGGACTGCAGCACACCAGGCTTCCCTGCCCTTCACCATCTCCCAGAGCTTGCTTAAACTCATGTCGATTGAGTAGGTGTTGCCATCTAACCATCTCGTCCTCTGTCGTCCCCTTCTCCTCCTGCCTTCAATCTTTCCCAGCATCAGGGTCTTTTGCAATGAGTTGGCTCTTCGCATCAGATGGCCAAAGTATGGGAGTTTCAGTTTCAGGATCAGCCTTCCAATGAATATTCAGGATTGATTGGTTTGATCTCCTTGCAGTCCAGGGTACTCTCAAGAGTCTTCTCTAACACCACAGTTCGAAAGCATCAGTTCTTCGGCGCTCAGCCTTCTTTATGGAAGTGGAAGTGACAAACAGATTCAAGGGATTAGATCTGATAGACAGAGTGCCTGAAGAACTATGTACAGAGGTTCATAACATTGTACAGGAGGCGGTGATCAAAACCATCCCCAAGAAAAAGAAATGCAAAAAGGCAAAATGGTTGTCTGAGGAGGCCTTACAAATAGCTGAGAAAAGTAGTGAAAGGCAAAGGAGAAAAGGAAAGACATACCCATCTGAATGCAGAGTTCCAAAGAACAGTAAGGAGAGATAAGAAAGCCTTCCTAAATGCACAATGCAAAGATATAGAGGAAAACAATAGAATGGGAAAGACTAGAGATCTCTTCAAGAAAATGAGAGGTACCAAGGGAACATTTCATGCAAAGATGGGCACAATAAAGGACAGAAACGGTACGGACCTAACAGAAGCAGAAGATATTAAGACGAGGTGGCAAGAATACACAGAACACCTATACAAAAAAGATATTAATGATATGGATAACCATGATGGTGTGATCACTCACCTAGAGACAGACATCTTGGAGTGCGAAGTCAAGTGGGTTTTAGGAAGAATCACTACAAACAAAGCTAGTGGAGGTGATGGAATTCTAGCTGAGCTATTTCAAATCCTAAAAGATGATGCTGTGAAAGTGCTGTACTCAACATGCCAGCAAATTTGGAAAACTCAGCAGTGCCACAGGACTGGAAAAGGTCAGTTTTCATTCCAATCCCAAAGAATGTTCAAACTACCACGTAACTACTCATCTCACATGCTAGTAATGCTCAAAATTCTCCAAGTCAGGCTTCAACAGTACATGAACCGAGAACTTCCAGATGTACAGGCTGGCTTTACAAATGGCAGAGGAACCAGAGATCAAATTGCCAATATCTTCTGGGTCACAGAAAAATCAAGAGAATTCCAGAAAAAACATCTACTTCTGCTTCACTGACTATGCTAAAGCCTTTCACTGCGGAGATCACAACAAACTGTGGAAAATCCTTCAAGAGCTGGGAATATCAGGCTACTTTACCTGCCTCCTAGAAAACCTGTATCCTTGTCAAGAAGCAACAGTTAGAACTGGACATGGAACAACGGACTGGTTCCAAATTTGGAAAGGAGTACGTCAAGGCTGTATATCGTCACCCTGCTTATTTAACTTATATGCAGAGTACATCATGTGAAATGCCAGGCTGGATAAAGCACAAGCTGGAATCAAGATTGCTGGGAGAAATATCAATAACCTCAAATATTCAGATGATACCAGCCTAGTGGCAGAAAGTGAAGAGGAACCAAAGAACATCTTGATGAAGGTGAAAGAGCAGAGTGAAAAAGCTGGCTTAAAACTCAATATTCAAAAAACGAAGATCATGGCATCCGGTCTCATTACTTCATGGCAAGTAGATGGGGAAACAATGCAAACAGTGAGAACCTTTACTGTCTTGGGCTCCAAAATCACTGTGGATGGTTACTGTAGCCATGAAGTGAAAAGACACTCCTTGGAAGAAAAGCTATGACAGACCTAGACAGCATATTAAAAAGCAGAGACATTACTTGCTGACAAAGGTCCATTAGTCAAAGCTATGGTTTTTTCGGTAATCATGTATAGATGTGAGAGTTGGACCTAAGCAAGGATTTATGATCACGAATTATTTGCGTTTCCTTTTGCTGAAAATAGCAAAGAGTCTGCGTCACAAAGAGTCTGCTCCAGTTTGTTCCCTAATCAATGAATATGAAGAATGTCTACATGCTCTCTCTTGTTCTTTGAATGGAGCCAGTACATACAGCCTGCACCATTATCTCCCAGGGCCTCATCTACAGACCAAATCACAGTATCTACCACCTTTCTTTCTAGGTTCTTTTGTACCTTCAGCATTCTTAGGATCCTTTACAATGTCTCCACTTTCTTAAAAACTAAG